GCAACACTGGCATGGTCATCTAAAGGTTATGTTACTTTTGGAGAAGAGAGATTGTTTTGTGGAGCATACCCATAATTGCCATTGACATAGGTTAACCATGGCAATCGAATTAAGTTTTTTCAAAGTGATTTCAAGTATTTTGATTTGTGTGTTGTCAGTTTTGTCTGATGTCAACAAGCATACACAAGTGAACTGAATAAAAACGCAAGTTGAAACCAGCCAAAAATTAGTTATATCATGTTTTTTATCACAAGTGCCGCTGTCAACAGATAGGTGAGTTGAGATGGTGTACAACCTATTGACTGCTCTAAGTTAGGTTAAGTTGGTTAAGTGCATGGCAAGTGGCAATAGGAATTGTGCAAGAATTAGTAACCCACAACTGCTGCTGTGATACAAACAGGTTAGACAGGATGAGATGAAGTCAGGCCTCTTTACGTTAGGCATAGTTAGGCCACTATCATGGGATTACCATTAACGGCTTAACGGCTAAACATTTCACTTTAACGGCTCAAGGCACTAAAAACCAAAAAGCTTTGTCAGCTTTATGACATTACGTCCATGCCAACTTAAACTAGATGTCCTTGTTTGCTGAAGCATCGGTCACGAGCCCATAAGTTCCATTTTTTGTGAATTGATTTTGTCACTCCTGCATGGTCTTTCTGCGATGGAATTTTTCGCTCCCACCCTAGTTCAAAAGCAATTCTAGCCCCCGTTCCTTTCCGTTTATAAACATGCCAATAGTTATAAGGGAGGCTGTTTCCCAGGTGAGGAGCGCCGTCCCTGGCAACCAACGAATGAAATTAAATGGGAAAATGCTGTCAAACCGAAGACTGACGGAACCCCCATTGTCGTGAGGATCAAGAGACGTCTCGAATGGTTCTCCCAATGTAGCGTATTACGCCAATCTTTCGATTTTCCATATGTTGGGGCCGTCCCCGACCCCAAAGCTTCCCCATAACGCCAAAGCCCAATCCCAGAATTGCCAGTGCAGTATTAGGGCGCAGTTACCTCAGCGTGCGGCAGACTGGTCTCCGACCGGTGCTTGTTCTGCTTCCCTCCGCTCAACGCTTACAGACACGGCCTTCTACTTAGAAAAACACTGCAATCCAGCCGCGACGCGACGCCGCGCTACGCGCACCCCGCGGCGACCCGCCCGGCGCCACACCAGCCCCGCGGCGTCCGTGCACACTACTGCGCTGCGCCCGGCGCGGCTCGGTGCCAGCGAACACCTCCCCCTCCCCCCCGCACCCGGCGGTTCTGCACGTTACGGCGCCTCACAACCGGCGTTCTGGCGGCGGGTCTGAAACTCTGAAGCACTGCGTACATATTTGGATCCGCTCTGTGGACCCGGCGAGATAAGTGCGGCGGCGGACCCACCCCGCGCCATCATGCTTGTGTGCAGCACGCTGCTGCACAGGAGTGTGATACCTCGATCGATCGCGATAGGCGCTCGAGCTCCAAATATAACTTTTCTTTATCACTTCATCGAGCTAGAGGTGCGAGGCAAAAACGGACACTGGTGTGTTCATAGGCGTAAGAACGTTTCAAAGCGGGGGGAAGGGGACAGGCAAAGGGTATCCTTAAAGAACTTCCACTAGAAAGCAAAGCCCGGTGACTGCGGGGGGGGGGAGCGGGGTAAAGGCGAAGAACATCATCCACTCTTAATTCACACAGCACAATGTAAGAACATTTAAATGTCATGGATGCCATATTAGATATAGATTTGCAGCTGTTTCCACTGGTACACCATCATGTCTCTTCGACTCATCTGTGCCATTCAGCAAACACGACTGTCCACCTTCCTGAGACCATCCTTTCACTTGAGCATTTATTCTCCTTCGTTTTATTGTTATTTTTCTTCTAACCAGAACAGAAACAGAAGCCAGGAGCTACCGCGAGATAAATTTCCCTTGTATTTTGAAGTCAATAAACTGCAGGATTCTAGCATTGACCATTGCATGGAGTAAATCACGGGAGCTTTTCATTTTACAACGGCTCACTGGACTCTTTCTAAACCGACGAAACTCACAAACTTTGTCTAATTTTGTTTGCTGTGTCATTCAGAGACATTGAGGAACTCCTGAACGTGTATTGTTGATGGAAATGGGTCCAAAGCGGCTAACGCTGTTCGTTTTTACGAAAACTGTAATCCCGGTCATCGCTGTCTCCTCGGATTACAAGCGTGCAGGATCTCAAACTGTTTCATGTTATGTGTTTTACTAAACGATCCTGCAAGATGGTAAACCTTTTCAGGCGGATATTAGTTGAATCTTTTCAATTTTGACCTCATTTCGATTTATTCCATGAAACATTTGTAAGACCCCTCACGTTTCTGGGCAAGGGGTAAAAGCCCCGCGAGTAGAGCGCAAGGGGGCACATTATCATTACTGGTCGAGGGCTGAAGGGCCGTTCCGTCTCAGCGCGGGGTGCATTTTGGCTGTCATTCTGGGTCTCCTGGTTAATATGGAGGTCCCTAGAGGGATACGTCATACCATTTTGCACTCCATGAACATAAGTTGAGGAAACTACATGCAGCCATGCAGAAGAACCAAGGCTATATAAAAAGCCAGAGTGCAGCCTTTGGTACTTAAGGAGCCTAGTGTTATCCCCTGGATGTCCCCATTTGCCGTACGTGATGGGATGAGATGCTGCCATTTACAACACGAAGCCTATAGTGTATAGTGCGGTTTGAGAAAGACAGTTGATGAACTACGTAGATCGACACGCATGTCTGAGGTGGCACAAAAATAAGCTAAACGCAAATTAAATATGAAAATGTTGGTGGTGGGGGGTGGGGGCAGTTAAAATGAATGCGTCACTTTTGGAGATACTGGCGCAAGCATCGCATATGGTAAAACAGGCTCACTTATAGCTATTGGATTGCCTTTAAGCGGAAAAGACTGCTCTAGACAACGCAACGGTTCCGCTGTTTAGTACAGATACTCCCCGATGCGTCATGATTTGATCACGTTATCGCACATTGCGCAACATTGATTGAACGCTTATTAACGGACGCTATCTGCGGAAATCGTGCAAAAAAACGCCAGATATGAACGACTCGACCGTTAGATTAGATTGTTCTCGAACGTTAAATTGTTCTTGGCCTTAATCGTCGCATGGCTTATGGAGTGGCGGGATTTGAATGTGGGTTATTATGAAGTCATAAATGCAGAGGTGACCTTGAAATACGTCCCTCGGAATAGTCTTCCCATCTTTTCGTGTGTATAACCCAGCAAGTAGAGGGGTTTAGTTCTTAAGCAGGGTGGGACTGTGAATTGCACCGAATGATTTTGAAAATGGTCATTTTAGCTCAAAACCCATCGATATATGGAACACTCCGTTGGAGATCGATGCTCCCTCTCCCAACTTGAACAGTGGATAGAGTATGGCTCTCCTGCACCACTGCTCCCACACCCAGGGGTGCGCTGCTTACCATGAGAGGAAACCCCCGCTATCCGACTTCAAGGTTTGGCACATAAAAGACTGTCATGATTTATAGCCATACCTGAGCGTAACATTACGCTGCGTTCTTCCCTTGTTGCGCTTCCATTGCGCTACCCCTACCACTCCACGCGTAACGGGATAAAGGGGCGATCCTTTAGTGCGGTTTCGAGTGGTCAGGGCGGTAAGTGACGACCAAGCACCTGATCGGGCTTCGCCTGCCGTTCTAAAAGCCAGTGTGCCGAGTTTCCGGAGCCGAGCGCCTCAGTCATGCACTTCACCCCGTCTCGACCGCGTGCATGCCTCTAGACTAGTGTCCCTCACCAAGCAGCCGTATTGAAGAGCCCCGTCAATGATGCTGGCCTGGCCAGTGTACGCGTCCTGGTGCCAAGTGGGCGCGCCGCTATCAGTGGCCAGGAGGAAGGGGCTGTCCTGGCCTCTGGCCGGGCGCCACAGGCGCGCCGTCGGTTTGGCCTCCTTGGCCAAGACTCCCTCTATTCGCCTGGAATTCATTCTTCGCTGGCAAATGGAGCCCCATTCCTTACTTTGAGTAAGCTTGTTCGACCTACGCCGCATCCACCAGACTTACATGCGACGGCACGACCAAAGCCCATTCCTTACTTGGCCGAGGGTGAAGTGTGGTTGTTTACAAGTCGCGGTTGTTTATATAGCAACGCCTAGCAAGGGCCGATGCACTGATGACGGCCGTGTATTTCGAGCAAGCAGGTGGCTCTCGACCGCATGTGGATGGTGTGCTAGAAGTAATGTGCTAAATATTAAAATTTACCAATCACTCGGGCAATGGAATACTGTCTATATGCACCATGCTGTGCGCCCTGTCTGTATGGGCCGAGTCAGCTGATTTTGAGTGCGGCTGTCAACGCGGCTCAAACAAGGCCAAACAACAATACCAACGAATCAGTTGATTCTGCTTTTTACTCATATTGGACTTGGGGGCGCTCTGGAAAGGCGGACATTATGCGCTTACCTGAGACGTCACGGGTCGCCACCTCACTAGGCGGCGCCTGACTGTTAAGACTGTGCTTCGACCCCGACCGCAGTGTTGGTAGTGCGGCATTCATCGATGGCCTCACAATGAGCCTTGTAAACACTGAATACATTGGACGAACACCCCCATTGAAGCCCATCAGCTTTGCTTTCCTGAGCGGCCATTGCCGAGGATCAGCAGCAAGGAACACAATGTTAAAGGCCAGGGGACAGCGCGGAACGTGGTCTACTTTGTATTGGGATGCTATAAGTGTCGCGTCACCGTGCGTCGCTGTCTCCAGGCGCAACGATGAAGATCATTTGCAATACACTTCCTTGAAGCAACGTTTTGTTCATCTGCTTGTAAAAATTATTGGAGTTGCGCCGGGCATGAACCTTGCATTGGAAGTCTAACTACGAAAGGCCAACTGCATCGAATACTTCGCGACTCGCCAGCGGGCTGGACCTGTAGCAGTCCTAAATGTTTGCAGGTAACACACCACCGGCATCACCGCATGCACGATGCTAAAGCACATAACGCTGTTGTAAGGCCACGCGCGCGATAAAAGCCATCCAGAGGGAGACGTGTATTACGAATCCATTCGCCAACAAAGGCCGGTGTTGGGTTACGGGGCCGTAACTCGCGACGTGACATGGTGAATCAGTCCGGATGTGGATACTAGCATCCGACATCATTCATATACAGTACAGCCGACTCCAACAAACAGCATGTCACGCTTCCATTGCGGACGTACCAAACGGTCACAAGGCGTAAAACACGCCCGCAGTTTGCGATCAGGACGCAACCGCCACGCGTCAAGAGCCGGTCGTGCCATCTATCGCCCGGAGCCGGAAATTAGGCTTGCCAAGCCTACCACAACACAAAAATAACTTCAGAGGGCACCACAAGTGACGCGCGAGTCCGCGTCACACCACAGCCGGCCTATCTCAATTATCCAGGGTTCTCGTCAACAGATCAGTTTTAGTGACACTTGACCAGCCAGTGTACGCTGGCGGGACCACGCGAGAGGACAGACGGACATCAATAGAACTGGACGCAGTGCAGTATTTGCCGGTTGGCCTTGGACTCGAATTCCTGCAGTAGCTCATCGATGTCGTCCTCCAAATCCTGCGACTCCTCCAGCTGGAAAACATGGACACTGTCACCACATATCCTGTCCTCACAGGAAAGCGCAAAGAACGCACGCGCATCACACTCTCAAACAAACGAAATGCTTGAAGAGTCATTAACACGCGCCATCACCACTCGTTGGATACCTAACACATACAACCAAACCTGACTTTAATAGTCGGAAACGACTGGCACGCAGGCAGGCATGGAGTTTGACCGTCCGTATCCGTCCGTCCGTCCGTCCGTCCGTCCGTCCGTCCGTCCGTCCGTCCGTCCGTCCGTCCGTCCGTCCGTCCGCCCGTCTGCCCGTCTGCCCGTCTGCCTGCCTGCCTGCCTGCCTGCCTGCCTGCCTGCCTGCCTGCCTGCCTGCCTGCCTGCCTGCCTGCCTGTCTGTCTGTCTGTCTGTCTGTCTGTCTGTCTGGGGTCATTCCGACCCGCTGGGGTCTTCGACGAGCGGCACCGGCCTCACCTGCGTGCAGAGATCGCAGATGAGGAACGCTCCGATCGTGGCCTCCTCGTGGTTGTCCTGGATGTCGATGTTGATGATGTGCACGGGCGTGTTCTCGGTCGGCTCGCGACTCTCGAACACTGCGGCGAAGTGACACGGGGTCAGGCTCGGATCAAACACACGCGGGCGCGCGGCCATACACTTTGTGATGGCGTACGAGATCAGCGAACCACCAGGGACCCCAGTGTGGCAGTGGCTATCAGCCCGTACCTCATTATTTCAGAGGCCTGCGCTTCTCGTAGGCCGGGCGCTGAGAATGACTTCTCGCAACGCGCACCCTTTTCATGAAGCGAGCAATGGCCTTAGTCTCCGCACCTCAAAACGAGCACAAAACAGTGCGCCCTAACCGACACCTCGACCGTCTGCACACATTCCACTGGTTGTGTCACATACATTCGCAGTGTCAGAGCACCGCCAGGTCGCTGGCCAGCGCAGATCCCATGAACAGCACGGTGCAATCCGAGTCCGCCTCTTGCGCACACTCACTCTCCAAGATCTGGTCGTAGACTCGCTCCTCGCAGCTGACCACCACGTCAAATTTGTCGGGGCACTCCTGCAGCCGCTGCGGGCCGGCCTTGATGCGTCGGTTGCGGTCCAGCATGTGCAGCAGACCGTTCTGCGTGTACAACGTGCGGTCCTTGTCCTGCAGGTCCTGGTAGATGGACTCGTAGGACGTGCCGAAGTCGTACACGTTGGGCTTGTTGGGCGCCGAGCCAGGCAGCTTCACCTTGTCACCGGTGCCGAACGACTGCACCGTAAAGCTCTTCTTGCTGTGGAGTTGCGCAAGCGGGGGGTTAGCTGGAGACAACGGCAGTACCAGGTTGTGGGCCGCTGCAGGTCATCTCGCCGCCGGACCGCCGTGTCCACACCTGGCCACTATAAAAAAAAATGGTGTCCCTCCAATCCCATGCCACCTTCTCAGAACTTAGCAAAAGCTGATGGCCGCGTGGTCCCAGTTGGCCGGCCGCGTCCAGTACCTACCTCAGGTAGGCGTGGGCCTCCATGCTGCGGTTCATGTTGCTCGAGCACACCACGGCAAAGCGGAGCCCCATGGCGAGCTCAGGCCGGCGGCGTCGGCGGCGCTACTGCGGCGAGGGGCGACGCGCTCCGACAGAATCTGTGGCCAAGCAGACGGCGCTGGTTAGAGCTGAAGCCGCTGCGTCATATCAAGTCACCGGGTTGACCGCTCACGTGCGCGCCGTCCTGAAACAGCGAGGTCCGCAGATGATTCCATGACCTCCGCCTCCACCCGGAGAACCGAGGTGAAGGAAACGTCCGATACGACTAGTCTGGAACAGACCACCTAAAGCACATTCTGCAAGCGGGAGACGCAGGACGGGTCTGCCGCAGCTTACCTGAAATAAATGTCCTGAGCGAAATGTTAAGCGTAAAACTTCCACACTCTGCGTCCTTTCCATTTAAGTCATGACCGTTTAGAAGCCACACTTCTTGCGTCACCGGCTCGTTCTATTTATCAATGAGTAAAAACTACACTAAAAACGGTTTTGCTTCGAGGTTGTGTGCTCGCACAATGCAGTTTAACAACGGCATCGTGGAAGCAATGCCGTTTTAAGTTGTACTAACTTTGGTTCAAGAAACTGGTCAACTGGTCTGGTCAACTGGTCAACGCTTCTCAAAAGTTACTTGGCTATCTCCCGTCGGAGCTACGCTACTCGGAAATATCTATTTTCGGCTCCACGCTGCCCAAGTCCGAAGGCCTGCCTGACCAACGCTTCCCAAACATCCCGACCCGCCCAATCGACATCACCCAACTGTCATTACTTGCCAGGCCGGCACTACTTCTAAGCCGGGTCAACGTCTAAACATCGTGAACTATCCGCTCCCGTAGCCGCGGGGCACATCCTCGCCAGATGCTATACAGGCGCCAGCCTGAGCGGTGCTACACGACTGTAGCCGCGGGGCACATCCACGTCAGATGCTATACAGGCACCAGCCTGAGCGGTGCTACACGACTGTAGCCGCGGGGCACATCCACGCCAGATGCTATACAGGCACCAGCCTGAGCGGTGCTACACGACTGTAGCCGCGGGACACATCCTCGCCAGATGCTATGCAGGCACCAGCCTGAGCGGTGCTACACGACTGTAGCCGCGGAACACATCCTCGCCAGATGCTATACAGGCACCAGCCTGAGCGGTGCTACAAGACTGTAGCCGCGGGACACATCCTCGCCAGCTGTTATACAGGCACCAGCCTGAGCGGTGCTACACGACTGTAGCCGCGGGGCACATCCTCGCCAGATGCTATACAGGCACCAGCCTGAGCGGTGCTACACGACTGCTAGACAGACACCCAGATGCTAGACAGACACCAGCCTGAGCGGTGTTGTACGACTGTAGCCGTGGGGCACATCCACGTCAGATGCTATACAGGCACCAGCCTGAGCGCTGCTACACGACTGTAGCCGCGGGACACATCCTCGCCAGCTGCTATACAAGCACCAGCCTGAGCGGTGCTGTACGACTGTAGCCGTCGGACACATCCTCGACAGCTGCTACACAAGCGCTGCCTCACATCTTTCAGCTCCGCCGCACACAGAACCCCGCCGCATTCCTCGCATCAAACTGCTAGAATGCCGCGACAGTAGCCGTGTAGCACTCGGTAGACCACGACAGAAGAAGGAGCGAACGCACCTTGTCACGTGACGCGAGTATCACCACTCACAACTGTCAAAACATTTTACTCTCGTTTTGTATGATAATTCATGTTTTACCTAAAATGGCAATGTGCAATGGCCTCGAATTTTCCCCTCACGAAGCCACATTGCAACTCGGCGCTTGCATTGCCCGCTCTCAATCGCGCTAGGAAGCTCTCTAAGCCCCATTGCCTGTACTGATCAATTAGGAGCCAATTCAGGAGGCCTGGCACTATAGTTATTGCCCACGTTATCGGTGGGAAATAAAAGTGCGGGGCGCACCCGCCGCGTGGAGCCCTTGCAGAGCGCATATCACGCGCTCCGTTTGCCCTGAAGGCCGCATATACTCCTTCAGCCATCTCCCGAAGACGTGACCATCCCAATGCCGCCGGTTTTAGGCCGCCCGGGATTTCTCGTTCATTGGTGTTTTCGGGCGCGTTGACTGCAACGGTCATTTTGCGCCCAGGGCTGCCAGTGAGCTCTCTACCTGGATGGAATGCAGCTCGTTGTCGTATGGCAAGCGCTCAGGATAGCTGACAGTGGACGGAGCGAATGCGCTGGTAGGGAGACATTCACCAGACCACATCTGGAGCACATGGAGAAGTAAGCGGTTTCCGGCGCTTTCTCATGTCGTCAGCGTGGTTCCAAACGTCAAATTCCTAGCCAACATGAGTTATTGATGGTGCTGTTAAATAACATCAACAAATTGCTAGCTGCCGTAGTCCGCCAGGCGACAGTAAATCCGGGGTTTGGATGCTTTCATGCCCCGCTGACAAACTTCGCAGCCCAGAAACCACCACCACCACGGGGTCATCGCCCACGAAATGTTACCCAGAATTCATGTGTTATCTCCTTTGAGACAGACAAACATAAACGGCCCCAGAGTCTGGCACACGTTCACCGGGGCACGACAGGTGATAGTCCACAAAGAAGCCCCGAAACCACGCTGCATTCTAAAATACTGCACAAACCTAAGCATTCAGAACATAACTAAGCGTTTCGAAATCCCTTCTCCGGTTTCCTCATTCCTGTATACTCGTACCCGTACACCGGCGACGGTCATAACTGACATGGAATTGCGCGATCGGGTGGTAGGGGTCAGGGCTCAAAAAACAAGCACTGCTTAGCGTGAGCTCTGATTCCTGAAAGACATCCATTCAAAGGGTTCGGATCAAATCTTTTAAAAATATATGTGGCTACCAATGCTCTTTGCTATACTTGGTTACTATGGACACGGGTTTCGAAGCGCTATGAATGGGAAGGAATGCCCTCCGAGCACGTCAAAACCTCAGGCTGTGATGAAGCTGCTGCATAACCCTGAATAGAGATGTACCTCACGATCTAAAAAGACGGACGGCGACAAGCAGATGGGATAGCGAAGCACCCAAAACACACAAACCGGGACGCACAAATCACCAGACATAAACCTGGAGCTCCCAAAAGATCCCAATGATCCCATCAACGTGGAACCCTATGGGATCCTAGGCCTATCCTTGGGATTCAGGTAGACGTCTGCAAGTAGCCATAAAATGGAACCGAGTTAGATAACAAACAATAGATATATAGATATATAGATAAAAATAGATAATAAACAAAAAGAGAGAGAACAGAGAAAAAGCATCTAGCCCTATCCCCCACCCCACCGCCAACTCTAGTACAAGCATGGTCTATTCGATTTCCTTCAAGAGGGCGTCCAAAAAGTGCACCCCGCGTTTCTGAAGGCGAGTTCATCTAGGCCTGTTTACTGAAAAGCCGTGGTGACGAAAACTCCGCTTCTGAGGCTTCCGCAAGACCTGACCGGTCAGTCAACAACCACCCCAAAACAGACCGCGAAGATGTATTCCGTTGTTGTAGTTAAATTGCGCACGGCGAGCAAAAGAAAGATGACGCTTCTGATGACATCAACGCAAGAGCTCTCTTGTCCCGATAAATGTCAGGACTACCGATTCATTCAGTGAGTGAACTGAGTTGGATTGAAAAAATGTCCTCACACGTATTAGCAACGGGATACATTAAGAGCACTGAAACGCATTGAAGGCCACCGAAGAATACTAGCCTAAGACATGCTGTTTGTGTATGCTTCGTATGCCATGCTGGGTGAAATTGGAAGGAGCTTCCATGGATTGATGCGAAAAATTACGAAACAAAGTTTTTTGTTGGATTTGGACTGAACGTGGGTGAAAACGGTGGGATATCAGCAAAATAGGTCTAGTTGCAGTGCAGAATCGATTTAAAAGTCTTTCCACCGTGCGTCATATCGCCACTTCTCTTATCGTAACGGACAAGTTCAAGGGACGCGATGTCGCAATGAGGTAACGAGAGCCCTCCTTTAGGGTTTGTACAAAATTCACACCAGAGTAGTAATGACATTATTATCACACAGAATGCCCAGATTTATCTGTGAGGTTTTCTTTACGTACGCGTGATTTGGCACTTGAATGCGGAACGTCGTACCTTCTTTTTTCGCTGATGAAAAATTACAGCCGGCTCTTTCACTGTTCCAGCAAAACCCCCTCCACCAAGCGAAGGATATTTTGACGACAAAAAAAAAATGCACACTGCATCTCTGCAACTAATACCAGCTATTGACGAACAACCACACTCATTTGTCGTATTCGCGATCCTCTTCCCCGCTCCTATACAGCTAAGAGATCGCTGAATGACGTCCCGGACCGCGGTCCCTGAAGCGCCCACACCACGGTCAAAGGTGAGGCCCTGTCACGGATCGCGCGCCAACCCGCGTCACTCGCCTTACCACGGCTCATGGACGAACACTACTCGGTAGCATTACTGCGGGTGAAGCCGACTCGCTTTATCATGGGTTGTGGGTAAAGTAGGCTTATGATAGGCATCGTGGATATCACGGACATCCCACCTATATCAAAGGGTCGCGGATAAAACCGATTCCTTCTCAGTCCTCTGGGTCCTGGTGAAGCATATCGGATGACAAATGGATGAACTGTCCCCTCATCACGGGCCGCAGATGCAACATGCTCGGCTGCATTGCCACCGGCCAGGAGTGTAGTAGAGTCCGTTGTTTTACCGCCACCAAGTCAAGCTGCACCAAGACACTCGCGCCATACTTTTCATCAAATGCCGAAGTTTTGGCCTACCACTGTGAGCTTCAAGAGATTGACTTCGTCGGACCTAGCCTCGATTTTTACAAGTCCCGTCGAAATCGGACAGCGCATAACGGCTTTTTCCCTGGACCCAAATGCACCACTCCCACTGGCCCCACTAGAGGCTACCGTCCGGCCGGGCCTAAGCTCCACGTTCGGCTCCACCCACCGGCGAGGCCAGGGCACCTCGAGGAGGGTTTATCAGCTCACCCTGCAGGCAGACGGCCAATCGAAGTAAGCTCCGTTGTGACGCCATACCATGAGCGAATAAGCCTCTGTCACGGATGAAGATCGCCGCGTAAAGCTGGTTCGGCTACCCGCCCGCCAGACGTTTTTGAAAGC